TTTCTGTCGAACTCCCCTTTGAGAGGAATCATTTGTCGCCTATGCCATATAAAACAAAGATGGTAAGATGCTTTTAACGGGTGGAGGCGATTGCTTCCATTGTTCAGTTAGAATAGTCCTGGTTGCAATATGACAGAACTCCAACTCCCTAGTTGATGCTGGAAAGCATGTGGCCTCCACAAATTCCTGACCTTAGCGACTTTATACGGCCTCACTGCGTGCGTTTTGCCACAAAGTGAGTGGTTAGTATGAAATGTTTGGAAGCCTTAAAGGGCTCATTTGTCGAGGAGAGGTTGTCTTCCACCATCCATTAGGAAGGATGTTTTCTACAGAAATACGATGTGGAAACACGAGTCAAGTATATTTCTAGCTAATGACCTGGGCGTTCTTAATTGATGATGTCATATCATGTCACTTTCTCAACCTTTTTTATTAACTTCTAACATAAATTTGACTGTTTACATTCACATTCCTCCAAATTGCTCAGAGAAAGTCTTTGGGTCATTAACATGATTCTGTCCAATTTCATAATCCATTCACCTGTCTCCATTTATTCGAATCCCTCAAGATGGGTGTGAGGGAGGATGACCAACCCTCACGCTAAAGATACCCAGGGCTTGTTGATTTTCCCCAGTGAAAACTTTATGGCTGGTACTAATAAGACTAGTCTAGAACTGCACATGGCCTAGCGATGGTAAACAAAGACGATGGCAGTTTGGTAGTTGATGTGGATGTTGAATCGACACCCAAACATTTTGTGTCTCATCACAAATTCCTCCATCTCATGGAACCACCAAGTTGGGTGGTTAAATTAACAACCATTTCTCACCTCATCAAAAGTGAAGTGATATGATCTGTCAGGAAGATAATAAAACAAAATTTTTCTCAGGAAGACAAAGTGTGATCCTACCCGTGCTAATTTTATCAAAATTTCTTTTAGGCATTCTCAGATGAATAAGCTCTTCACCAATTATTGTAAGCATCACCTTGTCATCAGTAACATCACAACTACACGTGAAAGGTAATTAAACTGCAGGCCTTCTTGTGGATTGCGCAACGATACCCTTTAATTTGATTTTACCCCCTCTCTTGCCACCACCTCAAAGGTTATATGACAATTTTGTATTGCATTTTCAATAATAACTTGTTTTTTTACCACCTCGTTTCGTCGACCCAAAACGATTGACTCTTCAAACTCACTACAGGGGTTGAACAAAGCATCATTTCGAAGAACCTCCACCACTCAAACTATAAGCCTCCATTGCTACTAACAGCAATCGCTAATGGAAACGCCATTTCTCCTGTCTTCAACAGTTAAGTGGCTTCGAGTCACTCTTCACTAGAGCACATGCGTTAACACTCAGTTCCATTAATAATTTTGCCACAAGACAAGCAAGTGACAAAGTTAAGTGATTGCACTTTTAGTAATTATGGTTCGGTGCCTTAGGCAGCTTGCAAATTTGGTGTGTGCTGAGGTGGCTCAAGGGGATTCTAGTTTTGACGTGTACCATATTTTCTCTCCTGAAGCCCCAAATTGAAGGTCCTCTACAACTTTTGCGTCAAAAAATTCTTTTTAATTCGTGAAGTGCAATCTTGAGGATGAATTAGTTGAACATCATCCGTTAATTTAATGGAAGACGAAGACTCTTTGAATTTCTGCTTCAAAATCGTTTACATAGAAACAGGATTTGTGGTGAAAGACTATCTGCAAAGAAGGGAGACAAGCAAAACGCCAAGCGCTAGTCATTCATCCACTTCAACTGACAAATTGCATTTCGTTTTAATTTAAATTCGGGGTAGTCATTAAATTTTCACTTAACAATTGTTTGTAGCACTGACAGGCACCGTACACTATATTTTTTAGTGAGACCGTGAACTGTATACATGTCACGCCTCTGGTGCCTTTCAAATTCTTTAAAGCAGTCGAAGCATTAACAGTGTTCTCGATTCCTATTTGAAGAAGTGCCTATTTAAAGCAAGAGCCAAAGGGGATGTCAAAAGAGAATCAAAGTAACAAAAACATTAATAACTTGATCTGTTTTGTAGTTTTTGGAGGTTGGCCTTTTGGGGAGAAGCTATCTTCATTAATTGATTTGGAGTGTGCACTGCAATGGCATGTCATTTCGCTCCTGTTACCTTCAACTGCAGTGGCTGAGATTGACAGTTGGACAGGATTGGGATGGAAAAAGGGTGGCATTGCGAGATGAATGAAGGAGCACAAGTCAATGGAGTCTCGTAGAGATGTCCTGACTGTTCATCTCGAAAGCCACAAAACAGATCACTGTCATCGTGCCTTGGTAAAGGTCCCTTGCATGCCCCCTTGCCCTCTCATGGGTGAGGTAGGAGTGCCAAAAGAAAACGCTAAGCATGGCGTTCATGGGAAGAGGAGTTGTCTTTCTGATCGCATTTTTTTTGCTACATATGGTTTGCCATTTTCCCACTTATTATTTGTCAGTTTGGCGTCGTGGCTTACTGGATCTTTGGGCTATTTCCTCTTGTAAACCTGTCAAGGAGCACATGAGAAGTTCCTCATCTCTGCTGTTCATTGAATACAAAGTCAGTTGCAGATTTGTGGTTTTAGCAGCAATCTGAATGATCAGCAGGTATTAGCTCATCTACTTGTGACAATTGAAGTGACTGGCTTCCGGCGCATCACCCCATCAGTCTGGCTTGAAGATGTTGGCTGGACGTTTGTGTGTCGAAGTGTGTGTGGCGTCTTGTTTAAACATACGCTAAATAACAAGCAACGCGGCCCATCCATACGGATGACCAAAATGATGGTAGATTTTAAGAGCCCTCAGCACAACCCTGCCATAGCTTGTGAAAACGTGCAAAAAGCATGTACTATAAAGTATAAACTGAATTAGTCCACCTCAGAGGTTTGGTGACCTCCGCGTTCCAGCTTCCGCCTAACCCGATCTTGCTTCTACAACCATTAGGTGAATTTGTTGGAAATGGTTTGAGATAGGTAAGCTCAAGGAGCTGTAGAAGCGATCCGTCAACCTTGTAGGTGGTTGGTGTGTGCATCACACCAGAGACTCACTGGCCTAAAGGCCTTGTATTCAAACAATGCCATAAACGCAACCACGTAGATGAACTCTGTCCACCGCCTTGGCAACTTTCACATCAGATTGTAGTTATTTATATGCAATTTACGTAATTTGCCGACTGAATAATTGATTTTGGTGAGAAATAACATACACATTGGGGGGTCCACCAACTCAAATGCGATACTACTTATTTCTCACGCCTTTATTGTCGAGATACAACATCGACCCAAGACCAATTTATCCATCCATCCATCTGGTTAGTACTACCTTCTGATACTGTTGCCATTCTTCCTTTTCTCCTTCTCACCCTCATCAATATGGTCCGAACCAAACACGAATGGCGAATCGGTCAGATGAAAGTGATTTCCTTATCCTCATGAGACCTCAGGCTCAAAAACACTCGCATCACAGTTTCAACTCGCGCATCCATGTGTATTCTATTGATAACGCCACATTCGAGAATGATAACATTCCTTCATGGATAAGCATCCATCCGACCATACATGCAAACAATAAGGGACTAAAATGTAGGCACGCATAAATGCTGCGTAAGAAATTGCACAAAAGTTTAGATTGGCGAAAGTTATCTGCAGTTGGAAAAGGTGTGGCGACGATGAATTGCAACGCAAGAGCACCATATTCAAGAGCATCTAGATACGAAACCAACTAGCTGTCTCATTTCATAACTCCATTCAAAGTGGTTTAGCACACCCACTCCCTGCCAAGTGTTTGAGGTGCACTTTCCATCCACAACCACAGTAACTCACTTTCAAGACATCAATTGTCTGTTGGAGCTGGTTTACTCAAATCTTTCGCGGGTTAATTCCCACCCTCCCTGGCTAACCATCAAATCATTGATCGGCTACGTTTTGTAGCATATCCAAAACTTCAGTTAATCATTGAGGCACACTAATTGCTCTGAGAGCCGAACCATTAGGAGGGAACAGCCATCGTGTGCAAGGATCACTCCGATATTTTCCATCAGGAGAAAGGAGGGCTTAAGATTCATTTATTGTCCCAAATATCAGCGGTGGACAGTAACCCACATCCCGTCCTAGCTGCAGTGACGGATTCAGTTGAGTGATAAAAAGACATGATGTGAAAAGCGAGATCTGCCGACATATTGCCATAACTCCTATTCAAACTACTGTGGGGTCACTAAAGACCTACTTCCGACTTGCCACCGCCGATCTAATGGGTAGTTTAGTGAAGGAGCAGATACCCATAGCACCAAATCCGTAGACACATAAATCGACGCCAATAAGCAGTTCCGGAGTGGCCCCAGTTTAATAAATCTCCGACTCGGCCAGTTGGAAGGAAGAGTGAAGTGGACGAATCGCCCTGTAATTACCCAACCGTTTTCAAATGTGTGCATGCACGTGGCCTCCGGAAGCCAACACAGAGCACCTTGGTAGTGTAAACAGCACCATAGACTACCCTAACCTCGCCCTGCCCTGCTCCGCCCTCCAAACACCCTAATTTCACCTAGGTCTTCCTTCCTTGAAACTTCAGGTGACGCACGGATAAAAGCAAAGAGAGGTTAAGGAAGCACAATCAAAGTACTATGGTAAAATAGGTGGCGGTCACCAAAACAGAGTTAACGGAGTATGGCGATGGGAAAGGTTCATACAGGGTTTCTTTTCTGTTCAATTATTTTCTGTGAAGAGAAACTGGACATATACCTATGGGTGGAGTGGATGGGTGTTAGTCAAGTTAAACAGCAGGCCAAAAAACAAATCACCGAGTTATACAGAAACACGCAGTGACAAACAGGGCAACGAGACACGACAGGCTAGCCCATTTCAAGAAGAAAAATAAGTAAAAATGAGAAAACAAGACAGAGGTGGGTAATGAGGGTCAAATGCTTCGCCCCCTGGGAAAAGACAGACGGAAAGCAGATCATTTTGTACAGATGCGCTTACAGGCAAGCGCACGGAGACGTGGAACAAGTCAGGATGAAGGTGAAGGGCAATGGCTCGGATGGCTTGGCACGAGGAGGGGGAAGCCGAGGGCGCAGCCACTCATCTGCCCATCAGGAGCAGGGGCAAGCACGAGGGGAAAGACGAGCCTTTGGTCCGCCTCGTTGGTGGTCTTTGAGACAAGAGCTACGCCCGTATCGCCACCAGCGATAGAGGAGACAGAGGTTGTTGATCCAGCTGCGGATCCAGGTACAATTTGCACCGGCACAGGGATGAGCGAGGAGGCGGGTGCCCCGGAGGCGACGGCCGTAGCAGCGGCAAACTCGGCCGCAGAGGCAGAAGTGGGTGCAGAGACGAGAAGAAGAGGGAAACCGCCGTCAAAGGACTTCTCGGTGGGTGGACAACAGACGTTCCCAGTCAGAAGAACTGCACCACCATAGTTGCGCGTCTTGGTGATAGGAAAGAGAGAATCGAAAGAGCGTTTTCGGTCACCGAGGCCGTAATTTGGCGGTTGATTGCAGGGAGTTTCGGAATTTACAGCAGATACAGATGAGGAGAGAATAGCCCCCAGCACCGGCACGTGACTCACCCTTCGCTGGCGCTCATCTGAGGCAGTTGTCTGTGAGGAAGATGCATTGATATGAATTACTTCATCTGATAAGATCCACTTTACACCTCTAAACGCTAGCGATTTCATGTCTGTACTTTAAGCGCGCAGGTAGTTGGGCGAATATTCGCGCCACCGCATTGCAAATTATGTGCTAAAATTGATGTTTGGTGTGTCCGTTTCTGACTGTACACCATTTACGACTTCACCTCCTCATCCTGTAAATATTCTGTCGCCAATAAAAGGGATACTTTCAAACTGATAGGATAAAGTAGAGAACTACTTTTTGAGGAAATAATTTTAGGAAATTTGAGTGCAAATACAGGTCAAATCCAAAGCCACAGCTGACCTCTAAGTTAAAAAAAATGCTAAAAGTTAAGGAAATTATTATGAACTGTTAATCCGGTGAAGAGTTAGTAAAAATAAATTGACTATTGAACACGAATCGAAAATCGAGTCTCAGTAGTGAGGCTAGGAAAAAGGCGAAAATCGTGCAAAAAAGGCTGCATTTTCTCAAAACACAACAGCATTTTATACGTACACACAATCTCTTGCCACCTAGTAGTGTTTACTCGATGGTCGCCACAAGGCCTTCACAGACGTGTGTGGGTGTGTGTATGTGTGCATGGATGACCGTTCTCCAATGGCAGAAGAGATCCGAGACCTTATCAACACAACTACTGGGATCCCATCGCTACGTAATGGTTTAAGTGTGAATATTCCGTCTTAAACTTGGCAAACAAGACACTGGACTGGTTGTAAAGAAGTGAAGTAGAGTCAATACACTTCTTGCTTCAAACCATCTTTTCCACACACAAGTATGAAAATGCTGCATAGCTAATGAAAATGGTGTGAAGATTTACGAACTGAGCAAGGAAGAGGACGAGATCAGTGTCGAAATGACATAGCTGATCAGGTCAAATGTGTGAAAGCTTTGCAGCGAGCCTACACCCATGCATGCATGAAACACAACCAATGGAGGAGGTTAAGACAGGTAAGGAGATTAGTGATGGCGTGGTTTGTCTAAGTCGAAAAATTCCACACAGTTACTACAAAGCATAATCACACGCAAAACGTCAATGCAAATTTGCACGTTTACTAGGTAGTAGATCGGAGAGGTAGGTGTGGTGAGTGCTGCAACTTTTTGAGGAGGCAGGATGTAAAATCTCTGTAAGCCACCACCTCTTAACTTTGAACAAGAAGTATCTTCACCTTCTCCTCTACGGTTCACAAGGGATGAACTGATTTAGAGTGCCAGTCGAACGCATACGCAGTAGTGATGGATTCTGTGTGTCTGTAGCACCGAACTACTAGGAGGATTAAGTATTTGAAGCATTTTGTAACTCAACTAAGCTTCACTGGCATTCACCATTTAATTGCATTTCAATAATTCAGCATGAATAGCTTTACCTTCTCCAAGCTACCGCGTAACCTGTAGGCGGTCCTCTTACTCGTTCATTGTCCAACTCAATTTTTATGACGGCCAATATCATAGATCCAGAGCGCTAAATTTTACTTAAAATACCAAAACGACTGCCTACAGAAATGTAGATAAATAATTTAAACAGAGGAACTGGAAAAAACGTATTAAGTCCAGATTTGGATCAACTTCTGACGTTAGAAGAATGGGAGATGAGGAGGGAAGGAAATAAAGAGCCCAAAGCTCAAAATCTGCTCCAGCGCCAAGGTTCAACAATATGGATGGGTTTAAACGAAAAGGAAAAGCACAAAAACATGAAACTCGCATAATTTTGAACAGTAAATTACGAGTTACGTCTACACAATCAGTCGGCATACTAACTTCTTTTTCAAGAGTCCGTGAAGACCCCAATATTCCGAATTTAGAGTTAAAGTATCGGATCCGTCAGTCAGACAGACTCACATTACCCGACGTTCGTCTCCCCCGTTTTCCTTACCTCGGTGACTTTTGGCAAGTGGTTACATAACAAGCTGCTTCTTCTTCTAAACACTTATGTAACTTTCGTTGAGTGGTGCCACTGTGCTTGGAAGTAAGTTTTCACCCAGAAAGTGCTAACTTGGCATCGACGACTATAGTTTTGATGAATGATGGCTTCCTTTCTGACTGTTCCTGGGGCTAATTTGAGCCAACATGGATGGGATATTGCACAACTTTCAGTGTGTGGATAAGGACACGGAGTTTAGTGGAATAGAAAATCCCCAAGCCATAAGCAATAGCAAATGATTAGAGTAGTCCCTCCAAGTTGTGAATAAACCTAGCTCATATTAAACCTTGAACCCGCAGAGAACGTCTTCAGTGGTGGTCTGGTGCGTAGAAATTACCTAGTGTGGCTGTATGAAGTCGAAAAGTTTCTTCTTATTGGTAATACCGAAAGCGAGTCGTCGGCTAGCGACCACTTCCGACTCATTTTAAACATAATAGTCGGTAGCGTGGTGAGAACAGACTCAAAAAAACTACTAAAAGTCAAAATATGTTTACAGATATCAGAAAAGTTCAATACCCTCATCTCTGGCTGACGATTGACCCACTTTCGCTCAAAGATTTGCGACATTTGTTTACAAGTGTTTTTTAAGCCTATCAACTTTTCCGTGAATCGAAATTTCACGTCAGCGGAATGAATCGGTCGATATCACCAATATCCCCAGTCCTTCCATGAACTCTATGCTCTCAATTATTTTCTGATATTACATTTAAAAGGAGACATGCTTAATTCGCCACTATTGCCCCAACTTTCTCAATAAGCTGTGCTTTTTTCCAGAGAACATACCGATATTTCGGTGAGCGGAGGGAGGAGAGGTGAGACGGCGGAGTGAGGCGAAGATCGCTCCACTTTGAGAGGTGACAAGCGAGTCGGAGGCACAGGCTCATCGGGAGCCGATAGAGGACGTGCCCCTACTCCAGCCGCAGTGGGGCCATACAATCCTAGGTCCTCTTCCGTCTGCATGCTTTTCGCATTAATCGGTGGACGAGTGAAGGGCTGTAAGAAGTCAAAAATGGCACTGATAGGAGGGGAATACTAGAAGAGATGAACAATGGATCGCAGACAATCTCATATTGTGAAAATAGAAAACAGTATCGGACCTAGTAGACGGTAATGACTAAAATCAAGGTAAAATTAAGTTCAGATGGAAATTGGTTGGTAACTGTCCATCTCTAATAATTATAACTCCTACCAGTCAATGCCGCCCTTCAAATTAATGTAGGCAACAGGAAAAAAGGATGTTACGAATTCCATCGTTCCCCATTTAACAAAATACCTTTGCTCCCGTTCGATAATTATTGTCCCCAATTCAACACCCCGACTAAACAAGACTGGTGATACGTGAGGTAGCAATTGAAACAGAGGTAAACTTTAAACGAGGAAGCGTTTGTGTTGTTCCTGCCACAAGTAATGATTACTTGTCCGATAAGAGAAAGCGTCAGACGACTACAATACGGAGGTTGGATTCCAAGTAAGGAAGTTTGAGAAAATCGAATGTCACTTTAATTTAGTACAATAAAACGATTAAGCACCTAAAACTAATATGAAAATATAAATGGAATAAATCTACATTTTACAAGGATAAATTCTTATGCACTGAACGTACTCAGTACAGGTCCAATCATGCAGGAACCACTGACAGACTGCCAAATGCCATTTCCGGTAAAATAAAACAGTCTCTATTGGGGAAAAAATCAGTACAATTTAACTCCATCACTAAATGTCGAATGGAGCCTAACCAACTTTTGCGAGGCAATGGAATCCAACCCGGACTTCTTCCTTTCGAGACTCAACCAAGAAAATCAGGAATATTGCCAATGAAGTGGAAGAAATTCCGGAAAAACAGGTTTTTAAATGTTAAAGATAAACCACTCGATGTACAATGTAAGAATATACTCGAACTAAGAGCAGACCATCACATTGCTTATCGAAATCATTATCTTACCTTAACTTCATGGAAAGGAGAAAGTTGTTGATGCTGCTGCTGCTGCTGGCGTTGATGGTGCAGAGACGGTGGAGGGTTGAAAGCGGAGGCGGCAGTGGATGAAGACATGATAGGAGAGGTAGCAGAGAGTACAGAGGAGTGTCGCCTTGCAGGGGTGAGGCCTGCAGGCGTCCCGAATACAGAATAGCGTCGACCTGCCTCTGAGTGGTGTGTAGGATAGCGCTGGGGTGGAGATACCGAGGTGGACAAAGTCGGAGCTTGAGGCGAAGGAAACTTGCCTTTCCATCGACTACTCGATTGTGGTGGTACCGGTGGTGACCGCATGCGAGTAGTGTTGTTGGACACGGCGGCAACAATGTTCAGTGAAGAGGAAGAGGACGCAGAAGTGGGCGTCGAGGTGCTGCTGCTGTTGTTGCTGTTGTGGACGTCCACCACAAGCGAAGAACGTCGTGATGGTACCACTGAATATAAGTAAAAGAGAAGTTGTCTGTGTTTCTAAAACCTACTAGAGATATACTTTCACATAAGAAGAAATCTTTCTCAAACTCACTTCAGTCGCCATTAAAAGCTGGAAAGACGAAGATTAACGTGGCTCGACCATCTCGAACACCACTTGGTATAGCTGTTTGGTGTTCTAGAATGGTTTTTGTGACACTAAAAATTGAAGCGCTTCCTCAGTACCCGACGCCCATAACAAACTCCTCGAAACCCGGCAGACAAATTAGATTTCTATCCGCTTATTAATGAACTTATAAAATCAACTTCTGATTTCAGCGCCTCCATTCGAATAATGCGCTGACATCGTTAAGGACGACAGAAATGGTGCAGAAATCTCATGGTAGACTCTCATTTCCGTAAGGCAGTGGATCAACAAGCTTACAAAAGGGACATTTAAGTCGGCCTGACAGAAGTTCCCCGATGCGAACACACACACTGAACACCGTAGAGCAAACATAAAGGCGGTGTACGTACTATTTGTTTGCGCAAAGTGATGAAACGTTACACGTCGAGTCATGTCAACTACCGCCGCCACGCCACCATCACCTCTGCCTTCGGTTAAAGGAGAAAGACGTACATCTACTCAAGTTCCAATGAGCACCGATTTTCCAGGCAAACGATAGAAACCTTGAAAACCCATTCACATCAACACGCAGTCATCCACATTCACGTGCGCACGGTCATGATTAAATGTTTGTGCAAAAGTCACATGAAAACCCAAAACTAACATATTTGTGCTTGTTAGAGAGAGGGCGGGATAGAGCAGAAAAAGATCTACTTGCCTCACCACTGTCCTCTCACCTTTTGAAAGAGCAGTCAATAGTGTAATGTGATCCAAATAGTTAATTACTTGGTCATTCAGGCTGTCAGTTGGTCGGTACACTGTTGATCTACCATAAGCCGTAGACGACGGCATGAATTCAGTGCGCAAATACAGAATTGAGAAAAGAATAATGGAATCCTATCAACCCAGTGGGTAGAAGAGAATATGGCTAGAGTGATATATCACTCATCCACAAGAATGAATCATTGTGTGCACTCAGGACCCAAGGTCTGTCACCAGAACAGACAAACGAATAAACGGTCGAACTGCGATGCACAAGACCGTCAATACATGATGATGTCAATATCAAGCGATCAAACTTACCCAAATGTCTGTCCGTCCCTATGTTTGACGCAGAAGGCAATGAACTACAAAGGGACAGCGGTGTCTACCACCCTGGGTCTGTCTGTTTTTTTGCATGAGCGCGTAGAAGTAGGCAGGATGGTGTGCAAGCCCACAGGCACGCATGTAGGCACATGTGCAAGTGCGTTTTCATTCGTTGTGACGTCGAATGTCCGAATGCGCGTGCCAATGTCTGGACGAAAGTTCAGTGTGTGTACGCACAGTACTCTGGCCCTTGTGTGCGTATATCGTGTGTACTTAAATCGAGCCTTATGGATGCATCAAAGAATATTCTACTGAGCGAAGGCGGACTCCTGTGTCAGAAATACATGAGATAAAGACTTGAATGCATTTTCAGCGTTGCATAAAGCGATCGATTGGCTTGACAATCCATTCTGGCCGCCTGTCATCACAGCTAATTTATGAAAACACAACGCAACAAATTGGAGGAATATGATCGAATGGGATTCGATGACAAACGCATCTGTTTGCTGATAATAAAGGTAATTTCACATAGGGTCGTAAAGAATATGGGGCTGGTTGGTTGCTGTTTCCACCTCAACATGGGTAACGCCTTAGGAGAAGCAGGAGGAAAAGTTGACGATTGCAGGCAATCTCCCAGGACAACGTGGAACCCTAAGTTAAAACAATCTGCCGCAGGAACAGGCAAGTATTCTTAAAAGTCAGCCTGGAAACAAGTGGATAACGCTAAAAGTTCATTGACAGTTGAACCAAGGTTGAGACCATGGAAGCAGGCTTAATAATGTCACTTCCTTAATGACAATATTTGAAGTGAATAAAAGAAAACTTATTTAGAATGCCCTTTAAAACTTTCCCCTAACATCCCAGAATGAGAAATGTTTTTAAAAGCTAATGATGGGCTCCTGTAAAAGTTAGTCAGCAAGACGACCCTTCCCATGACAAATAATCCATTTGCACCACATTTGCCACCAGTTCATTCAAACGAAAAGCATTTCATTATTCAACTCCTCCGCGTCATGGGGAAGTTTTCTGAGGACAACAGCTTCATTAACCATCTCTTAGTCCATCTCTGCTGTGTGAACATGAACTTACGTTGAATAATCAATAATTAAGCTTTTGTCAGCCAGATAAAAAGAACAGATTCAAATTTTCACTTCGTCCACGGCTCCAGAGGGTAGCATGGTCATTACCGCCAACAACGCCATCCAAAATCCGTGTTGTGGATTAAAGGAAATGGACACTTCAAGATAATATGAAGTCAGATGAATAGCTGACCGTACGGAACCATTTAGGAAAATAACTGATAATAAATGGTAGGTAAGACAGGGGAGAGCTAGGGACAAACGAACCATCGGCACGCGCGGAAAAGGCTGGAATAGATGGCGGGGGACGCAGTGAGGCGAGACCTCCGGCAGTGTCGGGGGTGAAAGACAGGCCAGGGTAGGAGAGTTTTCGCTGTTTTACCGGTGTCTCCAGTCTTGACGCGGCACGCTGGGTGGCGGAACAATGAAAGAGCGACGCAGCGGTAGTGGCACAGGACTCCACAAATGGGGAGACGGAAGAGGAACGCGTACTCTCCGCGCCCAATTGGGCAGGTTTATCGACAATAAGTGAGGCGGGTTGAGGTTGCGACTGTAGCGAAGGCAGCTGAGGTGCTGGTGGAGGCGGGACTACTGGTGAGGAATCACCATTATTCCGATCCCAATCAAACTTGCGCTTCTTTGCAGGCAATCGGGGCGTAGTCTTTTCGGGGCTTGCCACCACCGATGCGGAAGCGAGGTGGACCAGATCTGCAGCCTGTGCAATGAAATCGAGCTGTGACCATGGCGGATTAACATCGCTGAAGGCGCGCTGCGTTTTTACTCCACCAACGAGGCGCTCGCTGAGCAGAGCAGTGCGTAGTTGACGGAGGGGCAACATGTTGACCGTATCGGCAGTTGACGAGGAAGAGGAAGAGGCTATGGTCTGAGTTGCCACGGTAGAAGAGGCACAAGAAACCGGTGTTCGTGTCGGTGAATTTGCTGCTCGTGCTCGCCACGTCCCTGGGCTCTCTGAGTCTATAAAGGTGTTAACAATCCAAAGATTCAGGATGTTCTAGACGCAAACGCTCATGCTCTAGTCATAAATAAGTGATTGTGACATGTTATGTAAACAACCCTACTTAAAGATAATGCCTTCGTGAGTTTTCAACGCGTTATGAGAGGATACAGTAAAGCGACTTCTGACTTTCAAGTGTGACCTTGAAGTTCACATAAGGCACAAGGGACGAGGAATGTTAGTTTCGTTGAAACACGCAATTTGAAACAGTGTAGTACGTGTAGATAGTTCTAAAGGCTACTGTTAGATGGCGAGGCATCCTGCGAAGTCGTGAAGATCTAATATCGTCGATTGCAAAATGTCAGATCTACCATTCTAATGCCTAGAAATTGATAAGATTATCTAGGAAAATTGACAAACGCAAATTTCTAGAGAAAGATGACCATAAGTACACTATTCAACTGTAAGCGACCTGTAGAGAATCGTACTTTCAACGTGAAAGCTCAGATTTTGGAGATACAAGGATGATTTATTCACCTTTGTTACTTTTAAGCCCTTCCTCGAAGTGCTGTCTTACTAGCTTAAAGTGAAGAGCATAGCAAGAGGTTGCCACTAGATATTTTTCAATTAAGCATAAGCCCATTAAGTCTGCCAATCTGACTTAAGTGGAAATGTGCTCAAGTGACTGCAGCCCCATGACTTTCAGATCATCCAACTTAAACCTACAAAACTGTGAGACTATAGAAGTACCACTGAGAAAATGAATATTTGCATGTGTCGGTGTCAAAAATCCTCAGATGTTGGTGCTCAACCTCAGGGTTTAAAATAAAACAGCCACCTTGAATTTAGGAATTAATTGCATAAATTACAGTGAGTACTATGGAAACAGTCAGTTGACGCTTATTCATTAAAGAGAAATCAGAAAAGTGGCACACATCAACGGCGGGGTAGCTTAAAATAAAACGACCTTGAGATACAGTTGACGTGAGCGATATAAGACAAAATTTCCTGCCATCAAATAAAACGAAAGAGATAGCAACAAAATTCTCACGAAAAGTGGGATCTCAGTTACCTAGACGAGGTAGAGAGAAGAATTACTGAAACCAATTTCAAAACGTCTAAAGGAAAAAAGACTAGCATAGTGAAGTGGACTAGTGTACAGAAGAGTTGAGAAGGGGAATAAGGAGGTGGAGGGGAGGAGAGAGCGTACCCTGTTTTTCTTGCAACAAAAACATTGAAAACATGAAGAAATTAAAACCCCCCACGAGATCTGGGCGAACCTACGCATGCAACATAGAGACCGAGCGCCTATAGGCCAACATCTAGAAGGACCTTGTGGTGTCACAGCCAATGGTACATCACCACCGCCTCCAGTGGCTATTCGAACAGCCCGGCAGAGAGTGGATTGATTGGCTGCGCAACATCAACCTTAGTCGCATATGCGCGCGTGCGTGTGTGTAAGGCGGTAGAAAGAGAGCCTACAAACACAACAGGCTTGCGCCAAACTCTACTTCTCTGTTGAAGGCTAAGCATCAGAGCGTTCGATTACACACTTCTCTGCCTAGAGGTCTGACAAAGACTAGACCTTGTTGCGAAATCGGAGATATAGACGTCATGACTCGGTGACCTAATGCTATCCAGACGTGGAGAAAAATGAAACTGCGAGAAGTGGTTTTGTGGGCGCAAAACTTCGAAGTTGAGAGCGCTTGAAAAACCGTTTCAATGGTTCGTTCTGAAATTTAGTAATATTCACTTATTGGAAGGGCATCTTGCCATTTTCTTAAGATTGGGTGATTTCTACGCTCCGGAGCCCGGTTAACCAAGCGACAGCATTACTCTAATGGACAAATTTGCTAAATGAGAGTGCATTTTATGCTTAAATTTTCGTAAAAAGGTCCTAAATTTTGTTATCGATTTGGTGCGTTGAACAGCCTCTGATTTAGGGGGCCCACTCTTCAAATATCCCCCAATAAAGACGTTACAATGGACAAATTTAAGACCTCCTATAAAGTAGCCAAATGAATTTCATTTTAATAAGGACAGCCAATGACTGACAAATTTTTCCCACCCAATGGATGGTGTGTCTCCTCAAACAGGTAGCCCTCTTTGGAGGCGCAATGATGGTGTTGCGAGAAATAGTGTAGGGAACTTAGTCACACGTACCCCCAGACCAGCCCGTCACCCATTCATCCTTCTTTGAATGTGACACTTTGTACCTTTATTAAATTTCGACATAAAAGTAACCAATGTCTAAACCATGGCAACTAAAAAAGTGGTAAAAATATTAGTAAAGTGGACCATAAACAGAGGTAATAGCACGACATGCAATTAAAGCAAAGAGGAAGTGGAGTGCATCGAAGGAGCGAAGATCGAATGCTGGATCCTCAAGCTCAAATGGGTGGATGCACAAAAAATACGCTATCCAGCGCACAAACTATGGGAGCGACGATTTCGACAATGATTTGGACTATGGAAGAGTGCAAAATTAATGAATGCTTAATTCATGAATTCAGCATTCACTGCACGAGCCACATGGGTACAGAAAAGACAAACGAAACAGTAACACTGCATTCCGCATTGAAGTGCAGCAAATACGCAGAGAAAGATAGGAATGGGGAGAAGAGGGCGGTGGGTGGAAAGAAGCACGACCTTGACGCAAAGTAATGACGGCAATGACAAGCGAGCGTGCGAGACAATGTCTAGCCGATTGTACTACTGTTATCAAAAGTATGAGGAAGCATTGCAAATTAGCTGTTCAAACTGCACACATAAAAAACCGCTGTTAGTAACTAGTACACCAATACAACTGACAATCAACAATCCCAATTCCAAGCTTTAGTTCCATTGGTGGCGAAGACCACTTCCTTTGATCAGAACGAATAAAAACCAGAAACTACCTTTTGGATAATAAATGAGTTCCAGTCGGGCTCGTTCGCGTCGAAGGAGGACTCCTCTGGTGCCCGCAAAATTAATACCAAAATTGCCCAAGTTTCCAATATGCACTACATCTTCCAACTTACTCGGCATTATCCGGTAATAAACTGCCATTAAAGGTGTACGTTTTGGTTCATTTTCACCTGAATGACAAATTTCCAAAGTTGAATTGCCCACAATGCGGAAATTTTGAGCATTTCTAGTGTCTCATCACATCACGGGAATAGACCAATTATTGAAAATAATTATGCCATTGAAGCGACATAGTAACTACTCAAATTAAAATCTAAGTAGCTTTCTAAATCCCCAAAATCTCAGTACAGAGTAGAACATCAGTCCACAGAATATGCACCCTACTTCAATTCATGATGTTCAAATAACTAGAAGAAGCAATACCTATCCTCTTTCGTTGTTTCCGACTCAACCAATCTTCATGGAACACGAAGTAGATGCACCTACAATTGGAGTGGACTGACGCATCAACACTTAAAGCCATCACCTTGAGAAAGAAATGCAAGGCAAAGCTAGTCGCACATCCTTGATACTCAGCTTTGATTACCGGCGAGCCTAAGAGTATAAACAGGCGTAGAGGCAGGTAGACAGACAGACGAACAAAGAAAAGGCGTGGAAACAACACCACATGAGAGGTGGTGTTGATGAGGGTAGGAGTAAGTGAATGAGCCTTTGCACAAAGCAACTTCCTTTGCCGCACCCGCGCCACATATAGGGAGGGCGAGGGAAAAATTTATTTTTGGGGAGTCAGGAGCCGCCCTTATATACACACGCACACACAAACGTAGGTCGATTTGGCAGGAGTGTTACTGGCTGCAGGCAGCGAAAGCAGCAGTGCCAGCGCAGAAATCACACGCAAGGTGAAAAGTACACCGGAAGACAACAAAAAAGTTGGTGGCGCGGCAGCGCTTACCGCTAGAGTCGGTGTGACATCTTACATCATCCTTTTCGATGGAAAGTCATCGGCGTTGTGACCCAGAACATCTACCTTCGGACAAGGATAGGACGATTAGACCTTTTGGAAGATTGTGCCAGTGATCTATCGGAAACTTTCATAAGTAACTATAAGTGTGTTTCAAGAGGAAAAACCGGTCTCCAAGTTAGCAATTGTGATAATGGACATCTAGTCAAGGTAACCAAACTTGGTACAAAAATGATTCCCCAAACTATGCAATTGTTCAGATAGTTACAACACCTGGCTTAAGGCATGACAGTGGACATACTAAAATTCGGCGAGTCAAACACAAAAAAGGACAGGACCTCAAAGGGGAGGGTGAATACAAGACCTTAAAGTCATACTGATAAACGATAATCTATTTGCGCATTTTGCGCGTATCATTTCAACGCTTTACAAATCAGCTCACATCGTTCGAATTGCCCTCCTAACGGATCCTCCAAACATGTGTAAAAAACGACCTTTACTACTGGTGTGACTTAAAATGCCTTCGGAGATGGGATCATCTTGTAGCAAGAAGATCGCATCAGACGAGGCCTCATGTTTGGAAATAAACCCAAACTCGTTCACATCAAGGATCGACGCACAAAATGCACCCGCAGACAATAAGAAATTCGGTTTTCATTAAAGTAAGGGAAAAGTTTGCTTGTTTAAAAGGACAGAAGCCAAAACACCCCATGAACTGATTTCACTACAGCAGTGTGGCTTATGTAAGCAAATTAACCTGTACGAAATGATGCAGACAGAAGAACAGAAAGGGATAATTATTGCGCAACAAAAGGTAAGGTTGAGACCAACGCAGGAGAGCGAAAGAGACGCCTGTGTATGTACGTGCAGGCGCGTGGGTCTCACAAGTGACCTAAAAACGATAAATACACACCCACAGTGTTGCGACTGCACCACGTGAATATAGCCCTTAGGTCACCAGCAGATGGCCACGCTAATTTTGCATAAGTGAACATAAGCGTAAGACCTGTGATGGTTGGATAATAGCACACGAGCGCACGCACGTACGCCATTGAATCAGATACCAAGTGGACTTGTAGTGCGAGTCGATGTAGATATGTGAGATGGCACCGGTGGAAGGATCATCGAAAAAGGGAGGCAGAGACCGTATAAGGTCAGTGTTTAAAAGTGAATGCGTGTGCCTGCATGCACGCATACAAGCATGCACCAAAACCCCTAATTAATATCGGTATATGCCAGGCACTATTCCAACAAGCCACGCCAGGCACTCCGACTGAAGTGCATGTAAGTAAAAATGGAAAGTTTTGAAGAAAACATAACGGTGAATGGTTAGCAATTTGGTTGAATGCCATGTGAAATGATCCATTTCTTCTCGTCAAGCATTTCGGATGGGCCAGAGATCACAAACCCTGTGTTAGCAAATATAGACGACTCTCCAGTAATTTTTTTTCGCTACTAAAATGAGATCGTGCCCAAATGTAAGCAGATAATGCCTGACACTTAGGT